GATTCCCCCCACCCCGCCAAACCCTAATTCTACCCCTCTACTGAGATGAGGCCCAGCTTCCATCAGAAGGGCCAGGGCCTACAGGCTGTAGAACTTGAGGCTTCTGTCCATGCCTGTTGAAGCGATGAACTTGGCGTGATGCCCGAAGGCCACCCCTGTGGTCAGGCCGCTATGCTCTGAGAAGAAAGATAAGAGGCAACTGTGAGAAGGCTTTTCCTCCTTTATCCTCCTTTAGTCTGAACACTGATCCCTAATAACATGTTCCCAAACAATCAGGCCTTCCCTAATTAGTATTTATCACACCACAGGCTCCTCTGTTTTCCCTAGGCTGACCTGCACACTACCCCCAGTGCCTCCCTCAGTGCCTGTCACATTTCACCGGTAGGATGAATGAATAAAGCAATGCCAGCCCCCTTCTCCCCAGAGCTTTCTGGGCAACTGCAATTCGGCTAGGTTTAGCTGAAAACCTCAGAGCTCAGCTTGTTTATGCTTAGGGCTCACTCCTTGCTCGTAAGTGAAACAGTCCATCGGCATGTTCTAGCTCATGGGGTTCTAACCCCAGGGCGCTCAGGCCCCTAACACAGAGCAGGACCAGATAAGGGGCAGATGGGGCTGGGCAACATTCCTCATGGGACTCAGGAAATTCATGAACATCTGGCCAAATTCCTTCTAGATTTAGGATCACACCTGGAGTCAACGAACTCCCCATTAAAAAGTTCACGCTGTATTTTCAGCTACCTAACTCAGCTCCGAATCAAAACACCAGGTACAGTACGGGGTGAAAACTGGTGAGTTATACTGTTAGGATGGACACCTTTGTTACACAAACACACTGAGCAGGGCTCGGGAGAATACAGGGCAAGAAGAAGTATCTTGTATCCTGCTCACAACCTGCTACTGAGGATGAGAATTTCATCAACAAACACAGCAGTAGCTCCCATTCACGCAGCATCTTAAGTGAGCATCAGGCACACTGTTAACCAGCATATTAGCATGCCACCTCCACAACACCAGCTGTCACACTCTGCAAAGCTATGCCAATATTCCCATTTTCTAGATGAAGGAGCTAAAGCTCTGAAAGGGAAAGTCACGTACCCAGGGCCACATAACTGCTAGGTTGGAAACCCTGTTATCCATTCTCTCACCATCTCATGCTTTTCTTCTCTAGCACTTATAATTGCCATTAAATGTGTATGTGTGAAATTAATCTACATTTGCCTTTCTAACCTGACTATAAATTACATCAGTGCCCAAATCGGATCTGTCTTATTCACTGCTCTGTCCCACAACAGACTAAGACCCAATGCTGAGTAAGTACAACGGCAAATCCTGACTATGTGCCAGACACTGATCTGACCTATGTATTCACAGACAGTCCCCGATTTACCATGGTTCGACTTGCAGTATTTTCAGCTTATGATGGATTTATCAGGATGTGGCTCCATCGTATGTCAAGGAGCACCTGTATGTATTTTCATCTAAACCTCAACAACCCCACTGAGTCTGTACTGTTACCACTCCCACTTTTCTTTTTTTTTTTTTTTTTT